ATAGAAACTTAATTTTTATCAGTTGCAGATACATCAACACGCACAGGTTTACAATGATTAGCATTGACTGCTCTCTGTAAAACATAGAGCATCCTCCATGCTGCCTCTTTATTAAAGCAGCGTTAAATCACACTCCCTTACATTAGAAAAGATCAACCAGCTCCAACACTGAATCAATTTGTTTCAACACTCATCTCCACACGACAAACTTCAAACCAACTTTAATGAACCGATCACGCAACATTTGACTCTGTAATGAAGCTGAATCAGCAGCAGATTTATTGCTCATATTCATGTGTTACACTTCATTAAAGGATTATACTGAGACCTTTAAGATGAAGAATGTCACAATTAAAAGAAATGCTTCTCATATGGCTGCTGGCAATAAAGTCATGCCAGAGTGCCATTCATTAACTGCTGTATGCAGACATGTCGTCTTAGAGCAGCCTTGTGAAATTACAGGGGGAAATACTGACAGCAAAGTCCATAACAGTCATAAATAACAGCCTGCTATGACAAGGGAAATTACACGTCTTTGGAATTGAAACCTTAATAGCCTGATATAATGGTATCAGTGTGATGAATGTGTAGTACGTGTGATCGGATGCTTTCATGTTTTGATAAAATGGCGGTCGGGCTTATCGTCACTTTCTGGGATCTTGAAGGTATAACACATTTTCTATTAAGATCAGGTTGATTAATGATGAGCTGGCTGTCGGTGGAGGATCAAGTCAACATTCAGTCATTATGAAAAATATTCAAAGAGGAGACACAAGACTTTGTCAGCAAATACTCTGGAAACAAGGAAGTAATTCATATTTGATCCGATATGACAGACTGAGGATGGAACAGAGTAAAGTCCATACAATGGTGCACATCTACAGCAGGACTACCATGTAACCACATCCAGACACCAACAAGCTTGAGTCATTATGCAGCTGTGGTCTGGATGTGTTTATAAGGTTCAGTGGCTGCACTATATGGGTGGATCAGTATAAGCAGTTCCCACACCCTCTCAGGTGTCCTGTGCTCAGGACAGCCGGGCCCAGGCTCACACATAAAGGCTTCCTTTGTCTGCAGCAAGGAACAGGTATCCATTTGTGCCTGCACTGCTGTGTGTTTGTGTGTGTGTTTGTGTGTTTGTGTGTTTGTGTGTGTATACATGCATAGATGCAAACATTTGTATGTGTGTGTTTTTACAACACAAACATAGCGGTAGGACTGACTCATCAGCCCACAGTTACCACAAGAACTGGTGTGGCTTTTCAGTGCTGTCACAAACAAAGGAAGATAAATGTGATTCTCCAGTCAAACTAACAGAGTTATACTTCAAGGAAGCATGTTCATTTATGCTTTGATCTGCTCAAGGGACACTCTGATACTTGGCGTTAATTACAAGATTAATACAATTTAATGTGATACTACAATTATTTATATTATCAATTGAATGGTAAACTATTTTAGGATTATCCATGACCATGAGGCTGTGTGTGTGTGTGTGTGTGTGTGTGTGTGTGTGTGTGTGTGTGTGTGTGTATGTACTAATAAATGAAAGGTGTTAATAATTAATTCTCACTGTGGCCGCAAATTGCACACTAGTGTAGTAAATCTGTGTTTTGAGAGAATGTTTACAATGGAACAATGACAAAAGGCTTAGAAATGTCAGAGTAACTGGCTAAAACCACAATTTGTAATTGTAGAGTTGGTAGGTAGTTTTCTCTCACAAAGCACCACACAATGAGAGCGAGGGGAGACAAAGAAGGAGGTAAACAAGCGCGGCGGCCTTGTCAACATCTTACAAAATATGATATGACTTTGGAAAACACAAATTTCTTGACACATCATTTTCAGAGAGAAAGTTGAAATTTGCACAGACAGACCTCGAAACTTGAGTTGAGAAAGACAAAGTAAGTTCCAGAAAAGTTACTCAATGTAACTCGCATGAGGTTAAACTGATGCTACTGAAAAACTGAAAGCTAGTTTCCTGTTAAGATTGTGCACTGGGTCACAGTAATCTACATTTGCCAGTTAATGTTACTAAACTAACGTAGCTCACATAGACAGTACGCAAAGATTGACGACGGGTCTCCACTTTCTCCCACTATCACAGAAATGAAGTTAAAATAGCTCAGATTCTAACACTGCCATCTTGCACATTTGGAGCCAGACTCTTTAATCCAATTCATCATAACATTGCATTCCCGGACCATCTACTCAAACATGAGTTTGCCATTGTTCTGAATTTGTAAAGAAACTCAACACAGTAGCATAGAAACTCTACGGTGTTTCGGCAGTGTTATTATAGAGCAGCTACACTTTCACATTTCACCACGTTTTTATAACATAAAATAACAATCTAAACCCAAACATATCTGAAAAATGAAAACTTGAACAAACACTAAAAACATCTTTGGGAAAATGTGTTTAACGTGTACTTTGACTTTTTAATTTGGTCCATGTCCCACAACTAATTTTTAGGAGGCAGGGTTTATGACTTCAGAGTCAAAGTCAAAGTCAGCTTTTATTGTCAATTTCTGCATTACATTCACAGACATATTGAGGAATTGAAATTGCACATACTCTCGGTCTCCCCAGTAACTTGTACTGCAGCCAGCCACCAGGTGGTGATGAAGACAATTTGGCTTCACCTTTTTGGGAGCTGTTGTGTTGTCCATCTTTATATACGGTCTATGTGCCTCCTTCATTGAATATAATAAAGCTGCAGGGGATTTCACAGAAAATTGCCAGTAGAATGTTAAGAGGCAACTTTTGGTACAAGGCAACTAATTTCACAAACTAATTTGATAAAAAATGTATGAAATACAACAGACTTGAAATGGTGGAGTGAATGACTCACTTTGAGGTAGCTGATATTTTGAGATGTACATTCGAATGTGTCTGTTGGTTTTTCACATCTTCTACAATAACCACACACAGGAAATCAGCTCTGACACTTGTTTTTTTTTTCCCTTAGCTACGTGCAAAAATACTTTTCTTAATTCCAACGACAAATACTAAATGTCTCAGCTGCTGGAACTGAAATATCAATGTATACTTTTTTATTTCCAAAAATGAGAATGGTCAACACTAAATCATTTTTGTTAATAGGTGCTGCTATCTACATTTATTTGAAAGGAAATTTGGACCTTGACTGTTGAGAAATGTTACAAAAAGACTTGAGGCAAACTCTGTACTTCTTTATGTGTATGCGCATGTGTGTGTATGCGCACGTGTGTGTGTGTGTGTGTGTACTATTCATTTTACCTGGTGTTTAAGGCAGAAGTTGAGGATTACCTGCTCAGGAAGAAGACTCTGAGCTCCTCGGGTGTGTGTTTAAACAGCCTGTCAGGAGGCCCAAGTTTATGACCCACTGCTGGGTTTTAACACACGCTCCCTGTAAATATTCAATCAGAAAAGGTGCCTGCTCGCTATCGTGAGTGGAAAGGAAAGGTAGATCAACAACCACGGTGACTGGTGAGTATAGGAGAGGTGAAAGCTGAGAGTGCTGAGGATGTGCTGTCTTCCTCTGTCTGTGCATCTGTTGTGGTATCCCGTCTGGAGCTGGTTTGTGTGTGTGTGTGTGTGTGTGTGTGTGTGTGTGTGTGTGTGTGTGTGTGTGACAGAAAGATGATGTTAAGTACAGGGGTTGGATGCTGTGTGTAGAGAGGTCTTTAATTAGAGCAGGAAGACACAGCTCAGGAGACACACTACTCTAGACTTAAGTGTGTGAGATTGTGTGTGTGTGCGTGTGTATGTGAGGACTGGGTCAGACTAGGAAACATCCTGCACGTGTCAATAGTTTGAGGGTGTCTGCTCAGTGTGTGTGTGTGCATGTGTGTGTGTGTGTATGTGGGTGGGTGGGTGTGTGCATGGGTGTGTGTTTATCTTGATATATGAATCGCAAAAATGTGCAGAATCCTTTTTAGAAAGTCACCCTATACGACCCTGTTGACTGAACATATACAGACTGTCTAGTTTATTAAACTTACATAAGTTTCATTACTGTTCATTATAACCGAATATACTGTGTAACACTCAGTTGAGTTTGAGGAATCTCTGGCGAGTCGCAGCTAAGTAGCTACCAGTGAGTTGTGTCCAGTCAACCCTACCTGATTGCAGGATAAGTGGTTTGCTGCTGTACTGGTTTAAACTAAGGCAACAATTTGTTTCTTGTGGAAACATTCCAGTTTGCCCCAGTTTGTCCCTAGACATTAGAATCATGTCATTTTTTTTAGACATCCACATGACATGATAGAAAGACCACCAAACAATCACCAAAAATAACGCATAATATTTATTTGTAGTTCATCTTAATTATATTAAAGGAGACATGTTATACTTTATTGTATATGGTAAAAGTCTGCAAAGTTAAAAAGTCTAAAGTCTTTTAAAGGGAGCTTTTCTCCCTGACAGAAAACTGTGAAACTACTGAAACACCTCGTAAGAAGTCTGTTTGATACTTTCAGGGAATCATGACGTTACGTAACATTGTGCTGTCACGCAACATCACATTTGGATAATGCAGCCAGACTGGCACGCTCCCTATCAGAGACAGATAAAGCAAGAGTGGAGGCCGACCTTTCCAACACACACTGGAAGCATTTGACGGAAAAGTGAAGTGACGAAAGGGACAGGAGCTAAAACCAAGTGTTTCTGACAGAGGCTGAAAAGAGAGGCTGCAATACTGGACAGCATGAGGACAGTGATGTAAAACCCTTTTAAAAATGATGAAGCTTAATTTGAGTATAATATGTCTGTTAATAATCCAAGTTCCCTGTTTGGAGGAGGGACCAAACTATATTTGTATTCAAACTGTCTATATAAACCCAAACCTCTTCTTAGGTTTGGGTCCACACTTCTAGTTGTGTCCTGAGGTGACACAACCAACTTTATCACTGTTAAGTGTGTATTGCATAGGATTGTTTTTTCTCTTTGATTGGATCTTGGTGTTTAAACGTCACAGTAAAAATCAATTTTCTTGTCCCACTCTCCTTCTGCAGCTCCCATGTTTTCGTTCAGCCATGCTCCCTGGGTATGGATTCTCACCTTTTCCTGATTTCCAACCTCACCTACATGCTTTTCGTTGTGGGGGAGAGAGCCCCAGCATGTGGATCCCTGGCTCAGGAGAGTCCCAGGCTCTGAGCGAGATCCAGGAGGACAGGCCTCTTCTCCACCCGTGCCACCACAAGCATGTTGCAGTGTGCCAGGAGGAAACATTGGCTTTTATTGAGCTACAACCACCAGTGACTCCGAAACTAAACGGCCTCAGCTCCCCAAGGCAGACCGTTATTCCAGATGCACAATGCATAACACACACTCTGCCATTGAATGGTTACAGACACACGCTAAATGAGCTGAATGACATGAAGAACAGCTGCCACAGGACAGACAATGAACATGAAACAACTTCGTATTTGAGCTCTCATACACCTGCGGGCGATGATGAACCTGAGCAAACTGAAAAGCCACAAACTCTCACAACAGTATGTCGTCCTCCATATACAGCTCTTAGCCTCCCTTTGTCGTTCCCTCTGTCCTCTCTGTACACAAACACTGACCCGTGGGAATCTCAGTTACCCTGTTCACCATCCTCACCTGAAGGTCCAGGGTGTCAGAGCCCAAACTCCTGCCAGCTACAGAGGAGAACATCACAAGGTTCAGTGAAAGAAAAGTCTATACGTGAGTGCACACCTCAAGATTGACGCAACAAATTACAATTTAAAAATGCTTTATAAACTTGATTTAAGTTTTTTTCTTGTTTTCAGGGCGAAAGATGCAGGTTTATTCTCCAGATAGCCTGAGCGATGAGTCTCTCAGCAGCCCGATCCTGGACTATATCTTCCCTGGACCTTTTGCATCTTTTCTGGAGGAGGACCTCAGTGGATTATCCTCCCTGGAGGCTATGTCAAGTCCCTCATCCACAGACGGTGCTACAGATCTCCAAGACCTCAGTCAAGATGATATTTTTAATCTACCCACAGAACCACTGCAGATAATAGAGGACTCGATACTGGGGATGAGGGAAGATAGCGGGAGTGTAGAGACGTCCAGTGCCATGGGGGGGAGCATTTTGTCACGCAGTCGTCATAGTGACCAAGAGCGGCGGCGCTTCTCAGCCTCAGAACTCATATCTAGACTTCAGCTGTCTCAGAGGAAGAACTCCTTCACCCTGAAGCTGGGGAAGTCTCTGTCAGCACGGGTAGCCTCCAGGGACAGACAGAGCTCCAACAGCCTCAGTCCCAACCCTGACTGTGAGTAGACGACAGATCTAATGTCATTTCATAGGGTCCCATCCACTAACATGAAGGAGATGGGATTTATGACTTACTATACTGCAGCCAGCCACCAGGAGGCAAGTGAGATACTTTGGCTTCAATTTGGGGAGCAGTCATGCCACTAATCTTTACATACAGTCTATATTAAATTCATTGGAAATATTTATTTTTTTGACTATAATTTTGCAACATATCCAACAACATCTCATTTTAACTTCAGATAAACACACACACAGAAATCACTTTTCTTTGGCCATCCCCTCCATCAGAATCATATAAGAAGGGATATTTTAATGGCCAGTAATGAACAAGGGAATCAGTTACATCAACCACAACATAAAATATAATATATATAATTACTCAGTAGAAAAGACTTGGCAAAAAAGTCTGATTGTGGCCATTTGATTGTAAAAAGCTAAAAATGCAGTATATAAATATATAGCTGCAGCTCGACTTTATTATAAAAAGAAACTGAGGTTATTACAGTACAGGGCCTCATGACCATTTAATAAATGAGGGTGAAATGGAATTTGGCTGAGGTGTCTTGCTTCATCCCTTGACCTCATCTTCAAGTCCTGCTTCTTATCTTCTCCAGATAAGTCCAACTCCAGGCACCGCAGCTCAGGAGGCTCTAGTAACAGCGCCCCCCACAGTCCTGTAGGACCGGCACCTCCTCTGCCCAGCAGTGACAATGGGATGCCTTTACATAGATGGAGCACAAGACTTGGGTAAATACAGACTTCAGTTGTTTTGACACAAAACGGGCAAAAATCAAAGATCAATGTCATTCTACATTTTCTTCACAGAATGCGAAAGAAATCCATTGAAGACGACTTGGCACTTCCAACTGTTGCTAATTCAAATCGGCTGTCAAGGTTTTTACCGAGCTGTAAGTTTGCTTAAAAGAAATATTTTTTTCCAAACTGTTTGTATTGCATCTATTTAAACTGTCTATCTAGATATTTTCACAGAACCATATTTTCCACAACCAGTATTAGTATTTATTTGATTCCTGCTTCCTCCTGCAGCAATTCTGTACCAGGAATACAGTGACGTCGCCATCAACAGAGAGATTCAGAGGCAACAGGGGAAGGAGCCAGGCATAGAGGACGAGGGGCTCAGGGACGAGGGGTCTGACGGGACCCCGTCTCCATCCAACCTGTCTCCATCCAGCTCGTTCCGCTCCTCACGAGGTTCTGCTTTTGCACTGTGGCAGGATATACCTGATGTACGAACCAGTGGTCAGCTTGACAATTTCAGCAATGAAGAGAGGAAGTTACAGGAGGTGAGTTAAGACATTTCACCTCTTATGATTGGATTTACATTTGGATTTTCATTTGTTTTTTGCATTTGAACTGCTGCATCTGTTCATGCACTGTATGGCAGGCTGATATCCTGTGTCCTCCTCCACTCAGGCAAAGTTTGAGCTGGTGACCTCTGAAGCATCGTACATCCGCAGCTTAACCATCGCTGTGGACCACTTCATGCTGTCGCAGGAGCTCGCAGAGTGTCTTGGAGCTCAGGATAGGCAGTGGCTCTTCTCCAAGCTGCCTGAGGTCAAAGATGTCAGTGAGAGGTGAAGTAAATTACTGATACCTCTCAGGTCTTTGTTTCAACATCTCAGTGACCAGGTTTTGTTCCCTCATTGACTGTATTTTCTGCTCACTCATTGTTTGCAGGTTCCTTCAGCACCTGGAGCACAGACTGGAGCTGGACATTCTGCGTTTTGATGTGTGCGACATTGTCCTGGATCACTGCCCGGCTCTGCGAAGGGTTTATTTACCTTATGTAACCAACCAGGCCTACCAAGAACAGACATACCAGCGTTTGCTGTGAGTAACTGCTTCCATTGTATGTATAATAAAAACATAGCCTGATTTGGAAACGAAACTTGAACTTAAATGTAAATGTTTGCAGTCTCTCTCTCTCTCTCTCTCTCTCTCTCTCTCTCTCTCTCTCTCTCTGTGCACACAATTATGGCTGTAGTGCAGAAAATCGTGTCATGTAGTACGTCCAAAATTTCCTCTGAGCGTGTTGTTTTACACCTGCATGACTTAACTTGCACATGATTCGTTTTCAGCATGCTTAAGAATTTTTTTGTCAAGGTAAACAAGGTACTGGAATTTTCAGAGTTTCTCAAAAAGTCATTTAAGTATTTCTCTAAATGTGCTCGTCCTGTCATCTCAGGCACGACAACCCTCGCTTCCCCGGCATCCTGGCTCGTTTGGAGGAGGACCCCATCTGCCAAAGACTTCCCCTGACCTCTTTTCTAATCCTCCCATTTCAGAGGATCACACGGCTTAAAATGCTGGTGGAGGTACATGATTAAATGTTCACTGCAGGATTCATGTTCACACTTGAAACCCAATTATGAGAAACTGTAAATGGGGTAATATTGAGACTGGCCAGGTAATTTGCCCCGGCAGGTTTTTTTCGCCAACAGAACATGACAAGAGCATTTTTTTAGTCCTTGGCTTATCTCCAAAATATATTTTTTTATTTTTCAGAATATCTTAAAGAGGACAACACCGGGCTCCCGAGATGAGGACACTGCCACGAAAGCTTTCAATGAGCTGAAAAAGGTGGTGATTATCATCCCTAATAGTCAGTTGGATGAGCTCCAGTATTATGGCTGGTGAGGCACAACAGTAATGACTGTGTTGGTGTGTGTCTTCTTAGATCATCAAAGAATGTAACTCCAGCGTGCAGTCGATGAAGAGGATGGAGGAACTGATTCATCTCAATAAGAAAATTAATTTTGAGGGAAAGGTGACGGAAGTCTTTGTGTATTGATCTAAAGTCTGGATGGTGAAGAATGTGAACATTATAGGTTTTTAAAAAACTTGTGGGGCAATAGGAGAGAGGTTAATATTCTGAGAAAAAGTAAGAATCTATACATTTTTCATAATACTATGGGGGGAAAAATTGGATTTTTGTTATTGACATTACTCACTAATTGAGCTGTGATGGCAAGAATAGCATGAATGATTCACCCTATCAACAATTAATGTGTGGTGATATTAGAAAAATATAAACCTGTGGCAAAAAAAATCATACTGGCCTCACCAGTCAAACCTTGGTTGCGAAAGCTCAAAAGCTGCTTCCTCCTTCAGAAAATCTGTATTGTGTCTATTCAAAGTCTGGATACTAATGATAATATGATTTGGGTGAGAATTAAAAGTATTTTATCATCATTCAATTCAATTGAAAAGTAGCTAACAATACATCCGTGGTATATTGAGTCTACCCAGGCCCTAATATGCCACATGTACCATCTTATTGCACTGTGTTTATTGTTCAACAGCTTATTTCTTTTCTTTGTAGATCTTTCCTCTGATCTCTCAGTCTCGCTGGCTGGTGAAACATGGTGAACTCCTGGAGGTGGACACGCAGACAATGAGTATTTCTGGATCCAAGCTGAAGTTACCCACCAAGCCTGTGTACCTCCACCTGTTCAACGACTGTCTCCTGCTGTCCAGGAGGAAGGAGTAAGTGATGTTCAGTCGATAGACATTCAACAAAGTAACATGGAGCATAGAGTACATGTAGTCTCAGTTACATGATAGGTTTGATTTTGTCAGGTCTATTTAATGCAATGATCACATAACATACTTCATGGTTGTTCAACTGGTAACAAAAGTGTCAAGTTTAGAATAAGTTTATAGAAAACACCAAATTACCATTGATCAACTGTAACTAACATAACCTGAAGGTGTGCCTGACTTCCAACCATGAGCCTAAACATACACTTGTTTTTGGTACATTAGACTACTGAAGCCTTGCATTAGCTCTTACCACTTTACAATGTGTATTTGAACATCGTAACTCATTATTCTGCTCACACAAAATTGTTATTCAGAAAAAGTTGTTTTACATAAACTTTTTCTGACAGTTTGATGAGAAGACTGATACCATACTCATGATTGTAACTAACTAATTGCTGACTGTGGGGCTGTAACTCACAACCTGTTAGCTTTGCATAAGACTGGAAGCATGGACAAACACCTTTAGATCTCATTTGTTTAATCCATGCAAAAACCAAATTGTAAAAAAACTCATTTGTAGTTCAATGGGGAGATTTGTTGGACCATTTCTAGACTGGATACATGAAATTAAATGGGCTCAAAGCAACACAATGGCTCTATTCTAACGCTGGAAACAATCTTCCTGCAGTACCTGGAAGTTCATGGTGTTTGTACATGCCAAGATAGGAGAGTTGAAAGTGAAGGATCTCAGTCAGAAGCTGCAGGGCATCTCAGGCTTCATCTTCCACCTGCAGCTGTGCGAAGGCCAGCAGCTCAAACACCAGATCCTGCTCAAATCCCACACTGAGTGAGTAACAACCCTTCATTGATAACTTAGCTAATAAAAACTAGACTCTGTAGCAGATGGTGCTTTAACTGGCTTTGTTGGTTTTGTGGCTTCTAAGGAGCGGGAAGCAGAGATGGATCACAGCAATGTTTCCATCTGATCCTTTGGAAGACATCGAGCAGGCCAATGAAAACGATGGTCAGTAGAGAGCTGCACGTTCATGAACCAGCCTGCATAGTGCTTTCATTCATCATTTCTTTCTTTTCCTCTCAGATATATCCCAGGTTCAGTGCATCAAAAGCTATCAAGCCCAAGAGCACGATGAGTTAACACTGGAAAAGGCCGACATTCTTCACGCTAAAACCATTACAAGTGATGGTAAGAATTTGGATTAAGTCTTATTCTAGATTAACGGCATTCCACCTTCAATCTGCATCTGAATCCATGTAATTTGTGGCCATAAAAAGTTTGTGATTCTCACTGACTGTCTGAACTTGAATAGAAAAAAGACGTAACGGCTTGTTTGATGTCTGAGACATGTTGTATTTCTCCAGGCTGGGTGGAAGGCATCCGACTGTCAGATGGGGAACGGGGCTGGTTCCCCAAAACCTATGTGGAGGAAATCATGAGTCGCAGCGCACGCCTCCGCAACCTCCGGGAAAATATCCGCATCAAATGTGTCACACAGAAACTGAAGGGAGATGAGTGACCAGTTTTTCTGCAGCTTGTCCTGTGTCAGAGGTGCAATTCGACTGTTTAATTTTAATTTTAAAGCTTCTAGATCATGGTTTTAATTCTAGATGGATGTGGGACCTTCATGTAGGTTGCAGGTTCTTTAAAAGCCAACATTTTTGACTGCTCTTACTAATTTCCTTTACCATGCTAACTACACGTACAAAGCTTCTGCTTTTCCATCACATTTCCACAATAACACATTTTCATACAATATAAGTCTGTCAGCAGTTGACATTAAGATATTTTAGCAGTTTGCCACTCTGTGTTCCCTAAAACCTTTTAAGAGCTATTACTTTGTGCATGCTCTCTCCGAAGGCATTTCAATACCATTTCATAATCAGAGAAGAAAACCAAGTATCTCTATTATGAATGGAGAGTACACTGTACATGAATGCACATAAAGTAGAACACATGTCAGAGGAGTAGCATGAGGTTAACTTAGCATGTGTGACTTGTGACTCTCTGACGTTTCTTGTGCAGTAGACTGAGCTCTGTGAGGTGCAGGATATTCGTTCATGTATTATTACCACAGTAGAAAGTCACCTGAGGCAGATCCTGCTGCTGAGCTTCATCACACACATCACAAGCTTCTTATCTTTGGTCTTTGTTCTGCTGCTTTCATTTCAGTACACTACACAACTGATGCACTACAGCGCACCAGTTAGTTTCCCTCCATGTGTTAAAGACGTGGATTGTTAAAATAAGCCTTTGTATTTATTAAAAAGGATTACAGCGTCCCGGTTGTTCAGACAAGGCAACTGCATGTGGTTTGATTATTTTAAAGATTTTTTTTTTTAAACAATTATACTGAAGCAGTAATGTCTGACTGTCTCTTTAAAAGGCTGCACTACACAAATACTTTCAATGACCTAATAGGATGTTAAAGTGTATATTTTTAAACTCCATGAAAAGACCAAAGCACAAAAATAAATCGATCCTACTGACAAGTATTGTCTATCAGAGCTTATTCTTCTGCTTCATAAAGTTACTACTGGGACTTCACACCATCCTACTGTTGTAAATACTGACTAGAGCTTGAAATATATATTAATCTGCCACTGACTATAGTCCCCAACACATTCACTGTTCAGGTTGAAGTAACATTCGGTAAAAACTTCAGTTCCAAACTATTTTAGTGATTCATGAAAAAAAAAATTAAGATATATGCTCATGTCTGTTTTTAAAAGCATGTAGCACCTGGCAGGATAAAATGGGCTTGGTGCTGAAAAACAAATTCTGGCCTGAGGAACTGAAAAAGTAAAATAAATTGACCAACACATTTGTTCACCACAGAATAATTAGTTATAATAAGACAAGCCTTGTCATTTAAAGTGAAAAAAATAATACCAAATTCAAAATGTGCAAATGTAGCTTCAAGAGTACAGATTAGTTAAGCAGCAGTTCAGTGAAGGTTGATGTCATTGCGTTACACTAATAAAACAGTAAACAATAGCACTAAGTTGAATTTAGGTCTTTATATCATTAGTGTAAAAATCCCCAAATGATCAATAGCGCAGTGTAACTGTGCTAAATTTGTTGTAAATGAACCACTATAATCAACAATCAAATGTAAACTCTAGCAGTGGCACATTAAATATTTATAACCCAACTTTTTTTTCTTTGTCTAAGTTGTTAGTTGTAATTTAAGTGGTTGCTATGGCTGCGTATGTATTTATACTCCTCTAGCTGGTTGTTCTCTAAGGAGATTCTTGATGTAAATGTACTTTTCTGTAGATGGCCTCATGTATAAAGAGTAGAACATTGTTCATTTACTTTTTTTAACAGTAATTTATATATGAAAAGATATTATGACATTCCATAGTAATAAACTTTGCAGTCAGAGTGATTTCTAATATACCACAGTGAATATAGATACTGTGATACACTGGATGTTTACTGATTTTTTCAACACTACTGTAAATGTTTAACCACTGAAATAAAAACATTTCCATTCTATGTTGTGTTGAAGTCATGAATTTGAACGCTTTTTTAAACAGTTTATTCTGCAAAAGTAATGTGCATCAGTTCTGTTGCTGTTAAAACCACTACAGCTCTACAATGTCTTCATCTGCTCAGAATCCAGGTCATGGCCTCATTTTAGTTTATCCCCACATGAAAGAACTAAAAGTATTTTTTCAGCTCCTCTGTGAGGAAACCACATGCATCAAAATTAGGGTGAGAACATTTCAGAACATTTTCATTTCAATTTTGTAGCAGAAATTAGACATAAAAGTAATATGTACATACTATCTACACAGTGTGTTACAGTGAACTTGAGTCAGCTGCGTCCATTGATGTGACATTGGTCAGCGGTTATAAACGGCTCCTGAGACTCCTTCCTGCTCCTCTGCAGCTTTGGCATGATTGGAGGTGCAACCGGACTCACAGAGATGTGGCTGCTTCTGTCCGGCTGCAGATCAGAGACAAAAACCTTGTTGATGCACAGTGGCTTCACATTAGAGGGATCAGACATCTCCTCAGGCATTTGTATTGCAACTTTAAAAGGTAATCTGTTTTTCTAAATCAAGGAACAGGGCTAAAATTGAAAAAAGAATAAACCAATAATGTTTTTAAATCCCAACAAGACTGCCAAACCAAAACCAGAGGTTGCCCAGGAGCTAGGAACCTTGCAGCATGTGTCAGAAAATGGTTTTAAAGCAGTTTTAATAAATATGTAAGTCTAACCTGTTGAAGTTGAAAAATCCAGTTCTGATAATCCTCTAGACAGGTGCAAGAGACCTGCAGGGGCTCCACCAGATCACCTGAAACAAAACAGATTATATGAAATAACTGAAATATTGCAAAAGTCACGGGTCTGTGCAGATTACCTATCAGCTCAAACTCCAGCCGTCCGGGCAAGACTGAGCGCTCCACCGCCCTGATGCTGTGTCGAGGCAACCTGCCCTGTTAGAGATGGCACAGAGGAAAAAGAAAATGTGCAGGATTTATTAAATTGCTTGCACAGTCAGTACTACTTCATCTTATCTGACTGATTTAGTGATGTCTCAGGCAGCAGGTTTCAATGTTCCACCCTTGATATATGTCATGTGTCAAAATTACACGCATTGTGTAATGCCTACTGGGACACGCAGTCATGCCACAGTGGTGGAGCAGGCATCATTATGGATTTTCCCGTAGAGTCATTTTACACTACCTCGTATTTTATATTCAGCCGCTTGTTGTCAACTGACAGCAGCAGGACGTCTTGAGGGAAGAGAACCATCAGTCTTTCTTGGTGTCCCTGAGAGAAAAAACCCACTGTTACTGGTGCAGCACAGTTAATACCACTGCAGAAGACCTGTGACACATGAACACATAATATATTCTCTATTCATTGATACTCATGTTTATTTACCTCATGCACATGTAGTACAACTTGTATGAAATTTGGATTACTTATACAATATTCTGTTAAAATGTTAGTAATAATAATAGTTAGAGGGGGGCAGGAAATACAAAATACTGTAAACAAATTTAACCAGACATTATGAAAGTGAAAACAAAAGCAAATAGTTACTTTTTTTATGGAATGGTGGTTTATTATCAGCATTTCAGGTTTGTTCAGTTTTACTTATACCTCTAAATAAACTGGATTTAGTGATAGTTATCTTACAACCAATCTCATTGTCTGACTCCCATTGTTTTCTTTCCAATCAGTCCAATCAATGTTCAAAACTACTAAAATAAGTTTTGTGATCATATAATAATAAGGAATTATCCTTGAATATAAAAAGACCATTCTCATTTTAATGAGGGTGTTAATACAAATACAGTGTCATTCTCAAATAAATGAGACCGTAGGTTCATAGAAGATTTTTTTATGGTAGAAAACGTACAGAGGGTTCAGACAGAGCCACATGTTTATCCACATCAGACATTGAGATAAAATCTAATTTCAAAAGAAAGGAAGGGGCTTGTGGGAGATTTTGATTTTCAGATACTCAGACAAAAAGAAAGGCCCTGCCTCTGTTATAATGAGGTCGGAACGGAAGCCCAGAGTAACAGGATTTCTTACATTTATTTTCATGTGGAGCCTGGAGAAGTAAACTTAATTCAAAGCTGACAAAAGATTTAATTTGTATTCATTTGTATCCTGACTTGCTCAGTCAGAGGGTGGAGTGTCAGCAGCAGTGTATCTATTACTTCATACTTCCTGCTTTTTTTAATTACCTGTGTCCATGTCGTTGTTTTTAAAAGAGTGTGAATAGATTGGACGTCACGCCTTTACTTCTGTGTAATGCAATGATAGTGTGAAATAAAAAGGAAGTGAAAACTGTGGCAGTTTTTTAACAAACCAGACGTTCATATCAACAACATGAACGATTCATTTCATGCACAACACTTATTAATTTTCTTTTATATAATGAAACTCCAACACAAAATGTATTCTGTGATATTATATTATGTTGTTATGCTGACAGTATTGGCTTCTAATAGGATTTATTGGTCATGAGAAGAAATAAGTACATTTACCAACTACACACAAAAGTCATCTCTGGTCTGAGACGTTAGTGCAGATTATCACAACAGAGTGAGAGTACTGATTACCTGTCTCTGTGAGTTGATGATATGGATGATCGAGATGTATCCTGGCTGACCCATGTGCTGTATGGGTGAACCCTCCCACTGCCATATTGGAGCTTGTAGTAAGTATTTGAGCAGTTCTTTTCTTTTCCAGGGCATATCACAGGGTAGCTACAGGAGAGACATGTAAACAATTCAAAACTGCAACTTAACCAGTATTACAATGATAACCAGATATAAAAAAGGGGATTACTAGATAGGAGAGGGTGCAATGAGAGGGACTCATGGGTTGTGTCATTGATTTGTATCTCCTGTCTTCTATTTGCTGTGTCCATGTCTGTAACGCTGTAGCACTGTCACATATGAACATCTTGGAATCCATCATCGGTCCTGGATAAAAAGAGGGAACAACATAAATCAAGCTTAGCATTTTTACATTGTGTCGCCATGTTTCAACTGAACTTGGTTATTTCCACTGATTCACCGTTGATCTCAAACATGTGCTGTGAATGTGATGTGTCGGGCTCCAGGGAGACAGCCTGGAAGGTGAGGCCAGAAAGAGGAAGGATGCCCTGCAAAATAAGAAAAATATATTATTTCGGTCATTGTGCTTCAGTTTAGGAAATAAACCAACATTAATGACTCTGGTGATAGTCAGACAGCCTCACACGAGGGATCCTTCTCCCAGTGTGGACAAAACTGCAGTAGATGTCAAGCGTAACAGCAACATCAACAAAATACCATTAATGGAGGAGAATATCAATGTAAAGTATTCATACAAAAGAACATATAGACAGTATAGACAATAATAGTGGTGTTCAATTTGTGGAAAGGCACAATGGTTCTAGAGAAAAAGAAGTGGTCTACCACCTCTGGGCAGTTATACAACTTGCTTCTCAGAAGACTTTTCCAAAAAAAAGGTTAATGTTGCAGCTGGAAATGGAGCAAATGAGAAGAGAGTCTGTAGATGTAAAAACATCTGCAAAGATTCACAACTAGGAACAGAGACAGACAGCAGTACTGCCAAGACTGAATTGACTTGAGTTTTTGTTCAATATACAGGACTTGTCTGACATATGTGAACAGTTCTCTTTCTGAAGTCATAGCATGTACCTGATAGATGAAGTCCTGTCGAGAGTGGTCCAGAGAGAGGATCAGCAGGTGGAATGAGAACAGCACCAGGAAGTGTTCGCTGGTTTCCTGCAGAGACAGAAGAGCTCATGATTTCATCTCTTTTAAAACTGTTTCATGCCTCTTCTGTTCACATCGATAAAAATTTGATATTTTACTATAAATCAAAAAAAGTAAATAGAAGTTTACTGTTCAGGTTTTTTAGGGGTTGTATGAACACCAGCAACTTGTTACATCCAACACCACAAACTAAAACTCTATCTTGGATCATATGATCTTCCAGTAGAAATCTGGTTTGTGTTTAGGTTGATGCATCAAGTCATAATTTCTCAGCTGACTCATTTGTGCCCTGTTACCTGTGTGTAGCTGTTGTAGAGAGACACCAGAGAGGAGTGGATAACCTCTCCATACAGGTGGGCTGGTTGACCCTCCCAGCCTCTGATGGGCTGCTGGGAATAAATCCGATGGTGCAGCTCATCTCTGCTCCTGCCCCACAGCACCATCTGCAGACACAAAACTCTGTCAGTCCGTACCTACTGATTATCATCTGTTTTTTATTTGTTCATGATGAGACTCAAAGCTTTGACCGTCACATATTACTGCCTCCATCAGTGCGTGTGTCCACATGCCTCAACATCACAGTGACTCATGCATTACACAGTGTTTCAATAATTGTTGTTAACAATACAGAGGTGCATAATCAGGGGAATTTGATGTAAACATTTGAAATCAACTGCAGGGTGTTGGATGCTTCAGACAGTTTCTCATCGAAGTGGAAAAAACATGTGAAACCTAAATTCTACTTTATTTCCTGTAAAGTTTGAATCACAGCAAACACGAAATATGGCATCTCTCGCATTTGTCATGGAAATTCCCACAGTGTGTGTGTGTGTGTGTGTGTGTGTGTGTGTGTGTGTGTGTGTGTGTGTGTATGTGTGTGTACAGACTGGGTCTGGCCTCAACACAAATAACTGCACAAAGTGGAAACTATTGTTATTCATGTGAGGCACCTCTCAGAGTTGCCCGGAATGTTCTGACTGTGAGAAGGGTACATACACACACGTACACACACACACACACATAGTGACCTCTTGCTCCAGGTGTCGTACTGAAGGGTAGCGTGGGGGCGGTAGTGGCGGCGCCTGTGGCTGCTGCTCATCTCTGCTGCTCTTCCTCAACTGCAGCCTGGTTTCTCCCAGACTCCACACCCTGTATAGAAACATTTCATCAGTCACTGTCAATGCAACCACACTAAACACTCAGTTACTAACTGCTTGCTTTATTTTGTTTTGCGGTTCATTTTTAGACACACATGATTCAGGCTGACTGCAGACTTTAAACAGTGAGAACTGTAATTATGAGTCGCTGTTTGTCAGCATCTCCAGATGGTGTGAGCCTGGGCTGGCTGCAGCCTTTGGTCCGCTCCAAAGAAAATACAGCAGAGAAGACGTAACTGTTTCAATGACTTGCCCTGACCCTAGAGCAGCAGCAGCCAGACATAATCTGCTTACAGTAGTCGCAGTGGAGACAGACCCCCCTGCTGACCCTTTATTATATTCTGTTGCCTGTGTCCATTGCAAACATAAGCTTTGTCTCAATTATCCCAGTGTCACCATGTATTGTTGCTAAGCAGGTTTTTAAACTGAAGTGAATTTACACACACAGGATAAGTGGCGATAGAAAGCATTTTCAAAACAGTAAGAAAGCGAAACAAAATGATGTAAGCTATGCTAAGCTAAGTTTTATAATTTGCTCTTATTAAACTGGGCCTCAGCATTTTCTGGGTCGGTCTATATGAAATCATATGGTGCTCTTAAATAAATATAATATTGATATAATTCTCCTTTGGACAACAGCTTTCTCTGTTTGGGTTCAATGTTGATCGCTTTAACCACAGGGCTCCAAATACATCATGACTGGGATCATTTTACACTGATATTGAAACATTGAAGATGGATCAGCTATGGTCTTTTGATTGGTAAATGCTGAGGTATGTGCCAATCTAAATACAATAAACCTTAATGACAAGCACCAGATCTCTCTCTATCTCTCTCTCTCTCTCTCTCTCTATCTACCTATCAAATTTAGTGACATGATGGCTTTGATGACGTCCGTCTACAAATTTCCTGTAAGCACAAGTGCACCCTTTTTGAAAACTAATCATAACCATACATGAAATTGAGACTCAGCGATAATTTGAGTCTCAATTCAATACAATTTCAATTTAATGATTTCAATTTTACAAATGATCAATATACATTTGAATCCCAGCACACTTTACACACGCCTGATCAACTCTATGTCTGGTTTGTGAGTGTGTGTCTGAATGAAGCACATCTTCATCTGCGTGGCCAGTGACCATAAGTATGAATCCTTAAACAGCCAATCATGAGGACCAGTAGCCACTGTTGTGATTAGCCTCAGTTAATCCCTGGGCCCGAGAACCAGTGGACATTTGTTCCAACCTGACTCTGTATTAAAGCCCTCCACGCTGCAGCCATTGTCTTATAGTAATCTGCTAATCACATCAGTGCAGCATCACAGAGTTCCCAAGTTCATGTGAGCCAATTATTTTGGCTGGTTTGTTGTTGTGCTGGCTGCTGACGGGTGGAACTCATATAGATGTGAGCTGTTGTTGTGCACGTGTTTTCATGATGCTTTATGGTTGAATCTTTTCTTCATCTCAGAACCTGGGGGTTTTCTGTCAGAGAGCACATCCTGTTACCGTGTGACAACAAGTAGATCCTGGTGTCACTGCAGCTTTTTAAAATGTCACACACGAGCCTTACAGTTTTGATTTACATTTTCAGCTCGACAACGTGACAAAACACATGACAGAACACCACAGATGTTAGAGAGAAGCCGCTAAAGGACGGTGCTCTGTTCATCTCAGAGACAGTCACTGCTTCCTCCTTCTGAACATTAAAACCACATTTTAAAGTTACAGCGTGTAGAACTGAGTGATATCTACTGTTGAGGTTGCATGTTGCAGCTGAACACCCCTCACCTCATCCTCCCCTTCCAAACATGAAAAAGAACCTGTGGTAGCCTTTAATTGTCATAAAAACTCAAAAGGTGTTTAGTTTGACCAATCTGGACTAATGTAAAAAAACATAGCAGCCTCCGTAGAAAGTAAATGTGATGCAAATATAAAGAGCCTTATCTGGGGTAAAGAAAACTACAATTCATACAATTTAGATGAAACAAACTAGTGAAAACATCATGAGAATTATTCTACATTAAATAGTTCCCTTTCACCTAAATCTTACACACTGGACCTCTAACAAATAATTCCAATCCACTTTCTCTAAAGCTGTGAACAACTACTGTAACTTTGTTCCAGGATCAAAGTGTAATCATGAGAATGTACATTTCCTACCAGTACTTTTCTATTTGTGAACATTTCTGTAGCTTTGAACTGTGAACTTGTGTCTTACCCTAAGTTGTCTCCAGAGAGTTCCAGGAGCTCGATCTCATCGGGGCCCACCTCGTCCACTCCAGTATGCCTCTGGGTCACACTGCAGCATCCCATGATGGACGAGGAGTCTGTCCCTCTTGGCTTCGTCTCAGCCTCTAGTCCAGGCACTGAGCACCATCTGCCCGGGCAATCATCCTCACACAAGTGTTTGTGTGTGTGTGTGTGTGTGTGTGAGCGAGCCACACTAAAACCAAAGAGATAACATAAAACCGGAGGCTGGTTTGGTCCAAAAGAGGATATTGTGAGCTGGAGGGAGGGGGAGGGCTGCTTAAGCTCTTGTTCCCCCTTTTTGCCAGCGTATAGTGTCTGTTTCCACAGACGACCCGAGACTGAAAGAGGTTTCTGAAGAAAAAGTGCGGAGGAGTATTTGTGGAGTTGTGGTGTGGTAGCAGAGTTTCCTCCTTTCTTCCTGTCAGTTGGCTGTCGGCACAGAGCTGAGCAGCTTCCTCACTTTTACGCTCTGAACTTCACAAAGGAAACATGCTGAAGCCTCAGCATGACAAGGAACAAAAGAGACAGAGAGAAAAAACATCACTTGAGAAGCTCGTCTTTCAAACTCACGGATGCTCTCAGCCTCTTTGTTGAGAAACGTGGATGAAGCAAGCATCCTGTCAGGAGAGATGGGAGCATGCCTGCCTGTGTTTACATGCGCGGAGCCCTGGGTCGGGACGGATAATTATGAGTTATGAAATGGTAAGAGGTAAACAGCTGCAGTCAAAACAAGACACAACAACTGCAGAGCGGAGCCTCACGTTGATCTTCCTGGTTAGAATTAGACGGTGGGGGGGTTTGTACATAACCATGTCTGAGTGTTTCTGTCTTTCCACAGGCCAGGAGCTGCTGTTCTCCTGTGGCTGGCAGTGACACAAGCTTGATGCAACATGGCGGATGGATGTATTTTCCTTTTGATGCTGTTGGTCATGTGGTTCAATACAGAAGAACAAAATATAGGAAGCACCTGTGTTTGCTTGTTTGTCAGTTTGACAGACTACCATGAAACTCGGTGAAAGGATGCAGGATGGATTATGAAAAACCCATACAATTTTGTTGCAGATCCAGATCAGCAATAATTGTTTTTCACTTTCTTTAACATTGCAAGATTTTGTTTTTCAAAATTTCTGTTGCTTATTTATCACAAAATATATGTATATTATATAATGTATATAAAGTATTCTGTGTCAATCTTTCCATAGTCATTCTAGCATCATTGCACTATTTCTCCATTTCATTGTCATTGTTGTTGTGTTTTATGTTCATATATACATACTTTTGCATATATATTTATACTCATACTTGTATATAGTAGGTTAATGTTTGCTTAACCTTGCTCTACTTTGTTGTCCTTGTTTTTTTGTTTATTTCTATACATTGAGAGCAACAGAAAAACCGGAGTCAAATTATGTGTACACACATGGCCAATAAAGCTGATTCTGATAATGGACTGATATTTATGAGTGTGTGTAATTTGGTGAAGATCCAAATAAAACTCTAGATGCAGTGGATTTTAATGTGGTCTCATCAGAGGACTGTGGGCTTGGAGGAGGTGTGTGCCATTTTTAGTTTGTTTGATAGTGAGCAGTGTTACAGAAAAACTACTGCACACTTTATCACAAAACTTAGTGGAATGATATTGAGTACATTAGGAAAGGGCCCATTACCTTTTGGTGTGGATCCAGATTTTCCAAGATTTTTTTTCACTTTCTTTATTATTGTTAGATAGAGCGTTTTGTTTTGGTATTTTCACCAATTGCTCAGGGAATAATTCATGGATCGACATGAAAAAATCTGTTGTATAGGAAACTAATCTCTACAAGTTTAATTAAAGTTCATTAATGTCTTTATGGCGTAGTCCCTAAAAACGGATTAAAGACTGAAATAGATTCTGTATCGTTAAAGTGAGCATTTATTAGCATTTCTCTGAAAATAAAAGCGCCAGGTGTACAAGGTGTAGATTGTTTTTAGACAGAGCTGTTTGGATCACTGCTGTTTGCATATATGTTTCACACTTCCTGTTTTCAGTCAAACACTAAACTCTTTGTATCCTCTCCGAGCTCCTCTTCACCAGGTTCCTCTCCTCTTTCACATTCGTCTGCACACTCAGGAAGTCCAGTAAGAGGAACACACGGTGTCGTTTTCTGAGAGCCACAGACGGAGGCCCCTTCATTCAGCTCTGATGATGACAGTGGCATGATGACCCTCGTCTTCTGCTGAGTCTTCTCTTCACCTGTGGCTTTCAAGTGGTGATGCAGAGTACATTTGCTCAGCTTGAGCTGGAGCCGAGGCCTCAGGTCTTTACTCCTGACGCTCTGTATGCTGTCGTTGCTGCTGTGTAGATTTGAAGCTCTCTGCACTGATGATGAGGAGGAGGCAAGATGATGACAGAACTTTGATCTGCCCCGTCCTGCACCGCTCTCCGACACATTCATACAATCATCAGTGGACGCTGCGGACCCATTTTTACCCTCCATTCCTGACTTGCACCCTCTGGGTTCAGCCTTTTGTGTCTTGTCGGTGGTTTTCTGAAGGGATTCACTGTTTGTGTCGTTCTTGTTGCAGGCCAGTGCTGAATCAGCAGGAAAAACTCCGCTGTAGAGAAGCACAAACTCTCTCTGACTGGCCAAAGGAAGGATTCTCTGCCTGAGACGACACTTGTTGAAGATCTCCAGAGTTAAATCTAGAGAAGAGCATCACAGCAAATTAAAAAAAAGGTACACATTTTAGAAAAGTTCAGCAAGACTGAGGTTGGTAACAACATGGCTCTCTGCTACACGTGTGTTTCTGGTGATGACGTTAGGACTGAGCTCACCCAGCATCTCCACGACAGTACTGGGTATCACCTCCCTCAGAACTTCACAGTTAGTGTGCAGAGCTGGATTACAATTCATTTCCAATAGCCACACCTGTCAGCACCACATGGAGACATCATTAACACACATGTTGGACACTGACCACCATTTGAACATTTACCAGCACCTCCTCACCCACCTTGAAGTCCTCATCGACCATGAAGTCGCAGCCAATCAAATCAAAGAAGCCCAGTCGGCACTCTAACTTGGATTTGACTGCAAAGAAACACTGAGTCATGATCCGCTGCATGTGCTTCTGATGCACGGGGAAGGGGAAAAAACAGTAAATCCATTATTCATTAGGCTTCACAGTGACACACAGTATAGCGCCACCTTCAGCAGCCATTTTGTAGATCTACAGCTTTATATATGAAAAGTTGAATTTCTAGATTTATTTGACTGGTCATTTTTAATGACTCACATGACTGGACTTGTGTTAAGACAATTTAAGGCTGCACTGTATAGTTTTTTGGCCACTTGGGGGCAGCAGACCAACCTGTACACCTGATAGTGATGTAAGCTAATATAATATAGCCCATATTATTCAAAGTCTGTCACTGTCAGGGATTGAGGATTTATTCTGACATGTGACACTGAAGCTAAACAGTGTGCTGTTTAATGTACGACTCATAAAAATACAAACTGCTAGAGTGAAACTTCCTTTCAGTAAGAGGATGATTCATCCTCAGACAGCGATGAAATCATCCAAACCCAACCACAATCTCAATTATCTGAGCACTAGCAGTCATCATTATAATGGTAATTGGTCCCAGAGAGCTCCAACACACAGCAACTCACTGTGAAAGCGCCCAGCACCCAGTCCCTGGGCAGACCCTTGGCAACCCCAAAGCAGTCGTTGATGTAGGCGTTGAAGCTCTCCATGGACCACACGGTGTCCTCCTTCAGCTGGCTGTACAGGGGGTTCTTCTTCTGCATGTACTGGAGACGGACAGCAGGGGGACCACAGACACAGAGCAGAGGCAGAAAGATAGATGGTGACAGAACTGCATTTGATTTAAACAGCCTGACTGGAAATAATGCAGGCAGTGCTGCTATTATTCACTATTATCATGATTCATTTCGTCCTTTTTGTTAACATTAGAAATGCTTGAGACCAAACGCATGAAATAATCTACCCTGAAATTATGACCCAGAAAATCATAACTAAATTGTGATTTACCATCAACCGTGTGAAGGACTGACAACTCCACTGTCAAACTGCAAAAATAAACTCAGTGTCAAACTAGTGGCATCAATACTACAACTACAACTTTTTTTAAAATACTCCTCAGAAATTGTACAATAACGAGGAGAAGATAAGTGTTCACAAACTAAAAGTTATATTCACCTGGTATACAAACAACTGCACTAAAGAAGCAGTGTGTGATGTGTTTTTTGTTTTTTTACAAAAAACACCCAATGTAACATCACCACAGATCATCTAGAATTCTTTGTTCACACTTTGATCCATTGCATGCGCAGTATTGGGCGTTTACCTGGTTGGTCAGGTGGGCAGACAGGTTGTTGGAGCTGGGGTCGTAGAGGTCGCAGGTCAGTCGCACATAACCATGGCGGAAGAAGACCATGTAAGGTGCAGTGCAGGCGATCAGGAGGTAAGAGCGAACGTCAAACTTCTTTCCCTTCAGGAGCAGAGGACTCTTGATATAACTGAGGGCAAAAACTTCAGGTTAGCTTCAAGACAGTAAGAGCTACAGTACATCAGCATTCTGTTTAAAAATATATGTGACATCTTTCAGTGGAGATGTCATTCACATTTACTACAGTTACTGTTTTTAACTTGGGTTTAAGGATCAAATGAATTTTAATCAGACAACTCACGTTCAAATGTTTATTGTGGTAGAACATAGTTTGTGTTTGGCGTCTTGGCTCTGACTCAATCACTCCCCCGATATGATTACACAGATATGATGAGAGTGACGAACAAATGCTTGCAACCCCCCCGGAGCTTACAGGTGGATGCTGGGGTGGTGGAGGGGCTGAAGCAACTGGTAGCAATACTGCAGCAGCAGTGCGAGCAAAGGGGTTGATGATTGGAGCTGCGCAGCTCGATTTGGCTGCCTGAACTAGCTCGCAGGCTCCATTTGTATGAGTCTGCTTGTTAAAACCTCTCCAAACTTATTAAATCTCTTTTTTGACCCTTAGATGTGATGACTGTCATTCTGAGCTAAGTTCACCCACTGTTGGACAATGCGAGCCTGACTCTGGCAGTGATGCAGCTTCTTGTTGGCCTGGCTGTCGTCCATGTGCTGCAGCTTCAGTCTGAGAGCGGTTAAGTCCTCCTGGTTCTTCAGCAGAAAGATCCCTCTGCCCTGGTTCAGACCCGTCGGTTTACAGATCCACATAAGACTCTCGTTTCTCTTGTCACCTGCTTACAGTCACACAGATACAACTAGGTCAAATATATTCTAGATCTGTGCTGTTCATGGTTTTTTGGTTCTGCTCTGTACAACTTTTAAAACGGTGTGTTGTGTTTAACCCTATCGTTCTTTATAATTTTATTTGTAGTAAAGCTAATAATATTGCATTTTTTATTCTGTGAATAATATTTATTCCATTTGTGGCATCACCCTCTGTTTCCCAGAATTTGTGCTTGTAAAAATCCCACAATACAATTTATCACCTTTGCAAATTAGCATTATGGTGTAGTGAAACGTTAACT